CACGCTCTCTATGCCCATTACGCATCATCTTGCCGACTCCGCTCATTCTTGGGCAGTCAAGCATTGTACTCCCTGAATTAACAACACATTGGTATTAGTCATACACACACACACACACACTTTACACATTAGCCAGAGGTGAGTAACACCTCAGCTACTGTGCCGCAGTACATAAAAGAAAAGGGGAATAAAACGCAACAGGTGCCAGCTGAGCTACCGGTAAGGGATGGGCATCGTTCCGGTAAGCTACCTGCCGGCTACTTTGCAGCAAAAAAAAACAATTTACTATGCAAAATTGTAAAATTCTAAATAACGAGATCGTGGTTAGATGGGGAGACTAAGAGGGATGGGGTGGGACAAAGAAACTCACAGCACGAACGCCACTGAGGTCGGCTCCCAGCCATAACAACAAGTGTATCCAGCCAAACGTGTTCATCGTCTTTTGGACCCCAACCAGGGAGCCGAGATGCTCCAACTGAGGCCAGCCTCGAAATGAGGACCTTCCTTCTTCTCAACCAAGTCATCGCTTGGCCACCTCCTCTTCTTCCATCCGCCCTCTGGCGCGCAAACGACGCACGTCGTGGGAGTCGGTGGACTGGCATGCGTAACACGTGGCCGAGCCATCGGAGCTTGGTGCGTGAAATAACGGTGCTCAGCGGTTCATTTCCTTTTTCCTATGCCATAAACAAGGCGTCGAACACGCTCGTTGCTCACGCAGTGTTCCCATCAGATGTGAGCTAACTTGCGAAGGCACCGGTGGTCGAACGTAACTAGCTTCTTTATGTCCGCTGATCTAAGGGGCCAGGTTTCATAACCATACAGTAAGGTCGAACGTACTGCTGCATTGTACACTGTACCCTTCAGAGCCAGAGTGATGTCACGCCGGCGCCATAAGTGACGAAGGTTAGCAAAAATGCCTCCAGCTTTTGCTATACGGTTCGTGATCTCATCCTCAATCCCACGGGCGCTGATACAACTTCCCAGGTAGTTGAATTTTTGAACGACTTCTGGCTGATCTCCACCAAGGGTCGTCGTAGGAGGCGGTCCTGGCCAATCTTGGAGGAAAGCTTTGCATTTCGATGGTGCAAAGCAAAGCCCGAAGCGGCTGCAGCCAGTGCTAATCTGTCCAGTGCGGTTTTGTACGTCTGGGAGCTGTCACAGATTACGGCAATGTCGTATGCATACTCCAACTCAAGAACTCGTTCTCCTGGGAATAGCTCCACACCTAAATCGTGTCCTGCAAACGCTATTTCCATGATTTCGTCAACAGCGAAGTTGAAGAGGAAAGGTGACAGCGGGCATCCTTGTCTCACACCGCGGGTGATGTTGAAGGGTGGCGGCAGCTTGCTGTTAGACCTCACTCTGCCAGTGCCACGCGCGGATGATGCTTGGATAATTACCTATTTCTCAGGTACACCTTTCCTAAGTAGACAGTTTCAAGTGCTTGTCTATCCACAGAATCGAATGCACCTTTGATATCAAGGAACACGACAACGGTGGACCGCCAATATATGTGACGGTGTTCCAACAATTAACCCAAAGTGAAAATGTGGTCCATGCAACCACATGCCCGGTGAAACCTGGTTTGATCCTCACGGATCTGGTTTTCACGAGTGCCAGTCAGTCTGTGAAGGATGACAGAGGCAAGCAATTGGGAGGCGATGGAGATCAGACTGATTCCTCTCTGGCTGCCCGTATTCCAATCGTGAGCCTCCCTTGAAAATTGGGACTATGGCGGAGCGGCTCCAGTCGGTTGGGACAGTTTCCTGCTTCCACAGTTTCACTAGTAACTCGTATGAATCATCCACAAGAGCAGGTCCATCGAATTTGCAGAAGGCTTGATTAAGATCATCAGGTCCCGCGGCTTTATTTAACTTCAACAGTGCGATCTCACGTTCGACTTCTGAGCGTGAGGGTGGATCCAGAGGGACAGCCCAAGGAGCGGGGCGATCAGTGGCCGTCGAGAAATTGAACAATTCCGACCAATGAAGTTGCCTTTCTAAGTGCTCAGCTTAACGTTCCAAGCTTTTTGACAAGTTGTGGATGTGCTGTCCACTCTCGTCACGTATAGTTTAACTAACACCAGGTCTCCTGCTGCCCGTTTCCCGTATCAGACGGAATAACTTACGATGGTTACCAAGGGCAGCGTCCATTTCCATCTCTGAAGCACGATGAGACCACCAGGATTTGCGGTCTCTCTTCAGGCTAGCACGGATTTTTCGATTTGCGTCCATAGCTGCTTCGAGGCTGGTGGGCGCCAATTCTCCCTATCCGGCGGGTGCTGTGTCGGAAATTAGTGCTCGCAAGCAATAAGCGACGCAAATGGAGTAACCGCTCACGGGAGCCTACACCATGTTGGCCGCCCAGATGCAGTTCATCAGTTGATAATTTTCCAACTTGAGCGTTCAGATCTCCCGCCAGCACAGGAGCACGTTCAGTTTACGATGGAAGTCATCGCTACAGTTTGTCGGTGCATAGGCAGCGATAACGAATGGACACCTGTTAGTTTCACGCGACTTCGAAGTTTTGCACGAACCAGCCAATCGGACCGCACACATCCGGCTACTGGTTGGAATCCAGTCAACCATAGCATCTTCAGACCGGGGACTCAGGGCAATACCGACACCGGATTGGACGGTGCTCGAAGCTGCATCGTCACCGGGTAGGCGCAATGAGAAAGTGCTGCTGGTGTCACCTAAAGGGGATCGAAGAGTGAGTACAGAGCTCGAGTCTTGCGGGCGGGTCTCCAATAAGCAGCAGATACCGATCGAGAGGGTCTTTAATGTTCGGGCAAGTGCTGTCTGTTGACCGATGTGTAGCAATGTGCGTAGATTGAGGTATGCTAATCTGAAGTAGGATCGAGGGCTCCAAATGGAAGCCGATGAACTGGGATGAACCGCTCGGTTAGACATGGGCTTGTCGACAGGAAAGGAATGAGGCTTCGCGTTTACGTGTGAGTTGGAAATAGAAGGTGAAAGCATAACAAAGCAAGAATTGGGGTGCTGCAAACATGGGGGATAAAAGTGAAGCTGGAACGGGACGATAAGGGTGAGAAAGCGTAAGACGGGGAATAAGACGATGGAAACGCTTGAGTAGTAGCATCCAAACCCCTATCCACCCTGCTCGATGCAGCAGATAGGGCACCGTTGATTATCCTCTGCGGTGGCCAGAGCATCAGAAATCTGTTTGAAGAGGAATTCATTGTATTACGTGGGCAGGATGCTGTCAGGTTGCCCAGGCCTAGACAGGAGAACGATTAGATTTCTCACTCAAAGCCTTTGGTTCAAAAATCTGACCGCAAGGCAACGGGTTTTGCATTGGGCTACAAAGAGTCCGTTTTAAGGAATAAGCATCAATCACATTCGAACCCCCAACCTGGAGGACCAGGAGGCTGAGTTTGTCTGGCCTCTTACCATTGAACAATCTGGTATGAGTGGCTCTGAAGGTGCAAAAATGCACCTCCCAGCGTAGCTCAGTGGATCGTTGAGGCACACAAACTATCGCACCACGGTAAGGTCCAGCCTCGTATATTTGTTACAGACTAATTTCGAATAGCGACCTAACGTCATTTTTGGCAGCTCTAGTCGAATCGCATCAAACATGTTTCTACACGTCGCAATATTCTGGCTGCTTTATTCTCTTTTGCGAAGCTTTCTTTTTAATTGCGTGGTAGCTTTAGTGTGAAATCTACGCGCATTACTTTCATGTGTAAGCGGGATTTTTCGTGCTGCGTCTTATTTATAGTCTGACCTCGGGTAGAATTAGATCATACAGCAAGGTTTTACCTTCATTTTTTCGCCAGTTTGGTTCGACAAGGATGCTGTCTCCTCATTCCTCTTCAGTTTTGCCATTGGGATGTCATGGTTTATGCCCTTTTTATTGCTGCACATTAGCAGAGGCAAGTCGTTCGCTCTCAGCTAACATGTCTTAATGGCGATGCGATGATAATGCTCTGTCAAATTCGTTGAACACTGACCTTATGCTTCTCCTAACTAGTTGAGTAGTTGGTTTGAACTACGCTGGTAATATCGTCTTGATGGTTAATGGTCCATGGGCGGCTTGGAGATGTAAACGTCAACGTATAACAGGAATTTTCTCCGTCCAAGTGCAAAGCTTTTTTTCTAGACAGATGTCTGTACCTGCACTCACTCTTGACGGTGAGACACTGGCGCTGGGATAATCTTATCTACTTGGGTAGGTGCATCACTCCTGGCCGCGCTGTTGGTAACGAGATTTCATTGCGTATCTCAATAGCTCGTCTTGTTTACTCTAGACTAGGGTACTTGGGCTTCACTGTTACACCTGTCTATTATAGGGTGGATTTATTATGCTACTCTGCGCGTTTTACTGTTGTACGGTTGCGACACCTTGCCTGTTCGTACCGCTGACCTGCACCGACTATCTATCTTCCAGTATCGCTGCTTTCGCTCATTTTCCTGTTATGATGGCTGCACCACTTAACCAATGTGGAAGTCAGGCAGCATGTCTTGAGTTGGGGCTGCCACTCGCTCGAAGAGCTCCTCTCGTTGCGTCAACTGCGGTGTCTTGGACACGTATCGCGCATGCCTGTTCAACGTCTGCGTCATGCGTTGTTCATGATTGTTGGACAAGGCTGGAAGAGGCAGTGTGGTGGGCATCTTGGAGTGGCATTAGAAACTGACAAAACAGCTAGCCTCGTTCGGTTTTTCTCGGCTCCTTGGTTGTGCTCCCAGAGATACGGAGTATCGCTAATTGTCGACCCTAGAAAACATGATTGAAGACCGACTTTAGTGCCTAACCTGTGTCTGCGTGTTGCGGAGATATCTCTTCCCCTAATTAAATATACTCAAGAACTGTAAGTAGAAAAATGCACCAAAAAACTGCCAGCTTTTTATTCTTAATCCCATCCTCTTCTATCCTGCCATGATTCCTACGGCAGAAAATCTGTACCACAGATTTGGTTATATATATATATATATATATATATATATATCGCTGATGGTGATTACTTTGTCTTTTTAGCTCGCTTTTGTATGTGGCTATCGTACGCTTGATGGCTGACCCATCGGCGTTGGAGGAGGACGCACGGGAATTCGCTGATGTGGCAGAAAAGTACGACCATTCTGGCCAGTACGATGCAGCGGTATTTTTCTACTCAGTAAGTCGCTTAATTTGCTACGAGGAATGGTAGGAGGCGGCCCAGGCACTGTTGAATGCGGAGGCGGCTGGTTCGAAGTCAACATCGTTACGAGACACTGCTCAGCGGTACGTAAAGCGCGCCGAGGTATTGAAACATCTGTTGTCCCAAAACGGGAAAGAAAGCACGTCAGCACGCAAACCTTCAACAACACTCCAAGCAAGTCGCATCGTATGCTTCCATTTCTTTTTTAGTTCGGGATAGACAGAGCACAATTTATTCTGAAGGACGCCATATCTGAGGAGGAAAATGGTAATATCCAAGAAGCGATAGATCTATACAGCAACGCGGTTGAATTACTGCTCGCTTTGGTAATGCATTGCTGGTCATTTACTGAGCAGAAGTTTTATTTATTATAGCGCTCCCAAAACCCCGACGAAGCTGATTTGTCAAAGATTAAAAGGCTTGCCAACGAAGGTCTCACTAGGTTTGTTGCTATTTCATTCGTTTTACTCACAGGGCGGAAATACTGAAAAAGTGCCAGCAGACTCATTCCCTGCCTTCCGCTAGAGAAACCTCGACGGGACCTGAAAGCTGTAAGCTTGCACTATGCTTCTATTCAACAGTATTATGGTTTCACATGCCCTAACATCTTTTGAGCGCTTGCGTACCAGTCTTGTCAATTTACCATTTCCTTGATATCCGTGCTTTTTGGTGTAATTGTTTTATCCGATTGCAGGTCCCCACCTGAATTTCGGGTTTATATTCCGGCAGAGAGCCTGAACCGACTTAAATTGTTTTAACAAATGGTTCCACTTGCATCCTGAATACTGAAAATAAGGAGCTGTTTCACTCTATCGGTAACTTATTGAGCACGCATACGGAATAACGCTATTTATCCCCTCACGCTGTCGACGCAGTTTGGCTGTGCGACATCTTATCATTGAGGTGCGATTCGCACCGATCTTATCGCAAAGTCGGCGTCCAGGAATTTCTTGTATTCTGGCACCGATTTCGCCTCGATTGTTGTTTAGCAAACTGTTCCACTATTTCACCACTGACACTGGAAACTTCTCATCCGGTACCACAATCCTGTACCGGTGCGCGCGTGTGCTGTTTGGTGCATGCACGTGCATCAGCGACCTAAACATAGGGAAGTCATTCAGATGTTGTACCCAGAATGTGCACTCGAAAGAGAAGATACGACAGGGCGTACAGCCCTAGTTTCCTGCGACCGTCTTCTTACGACACCCAGTGGACTGAGAATGAGCTTAGTAGCGACAAGCCGAACACGTCCCCGTATTTGCACCTTGAGACGGGCTACAGGCGGATGAGCCGTACTCGAGCGTCGATCATATGGTGGAAGAAAACAGGTGAGTTTCAATCTCTTCAGACCAAATGTAGAATCCGGTTTGAGCATCTAAACCATACATAGTCCATCTATACTTTAATTCTCTGCCTGAGAGTAGGTCCAGATGCCTCATGGAATGTATGGGATCTAGCGGTTGGCCGACCAGAGTGTACATACTCCCATGATCATCATCATTATACACGTTAGCTGCAGGTGGAAAACACCTCAGCTACTGTGCCACAATACAAAAGACCAGCAAAAAAAGAAAAAAAAACAAGTGAGGCACGCCGGCTGAGTCCCCAGTAACTGATGGACATCGTTCCGGAGAGCTAACAGCCGGCTATCGTGCGGCCTAACGAATGAGATCGTGATTGGAAGGGGAGGCTAAGCGGGAGGGGAATGCACAAAGGAACGCACAACACAAACGCCATTGGGGTGGGCTCTTAGCCATATCAACAAGCGTGTCCAACCAAACGTGTTCATCGTCCTTAGGACCCCAGCCGGGCAGTCTGGATGCACCAACCGACGTCAACTTCGATTTGCCACTCCCATCACAAGGCTCAAACATAGCGTATTGACTGGGTTGGTCGGCGGATCGACATCTACAGACTATCTGGGAAGGCGATCAGAGTTATGCTGAAGTTTATTGCCTCGTCGGGAGCATCATTTGCTTTCTCTAAATCTTCACACACACCCACAGTGACCGAAGGAACGATGTTGCATTAATGTGGATCATCAGTGTTAGGCACTCTTGGTTTTACCGTTCCGCATTCATGTCTGACACACCCATTCATAACTCTTTTCGCTACCTCAATGAATGCCTTTGCTTGTTCTAGCGAACAAAAAATAGCTTCAATCCATCCGCATTTTTTACACTGCCCCTGTTTGCCTTAGTATCGTAATTTTGATTTCTAAAATGGCCGGGATTCACTTCGTACCCAATTTCAGTGTGTTTCATGCAGTGGTTACTGTATACATCATGGTTCTTTACCGCACTTGGGCTACACCGACTAGCACCTACACTTAAAGTAGCTTTTAACTTGGATTAAAAGTATTCCATTTTATTTTGTTTGCTCATTTCTGTTGTCTATTCCCTGTTTAGTTTCCCTCAATTTATGCGTTGGCTGCTCGATAACCCCGGTGTGGCTGCGCTTGGCGTGAATGCTGACAAGGTGCCTACCAGCATAACAACCTCTATCTCGATTATTGGCTCCGGGAGACTACTAATCTTTGCTTGGGGCGTGGTACACGTTCATCGTGACCGTGCTAAGCACATACAGTGGTTCCGTCCAGTTTTTTAGTAGACTATGGCCCAATCACCGCATTGTATACGTCTGGTACGCCTGATTCCCCACAGAGTTAGACAAGAATGCTGCTGCTGTGCATCTTGAAGGAGTGCGGGCCGGCTCCGTTTATGAACCGTGGCTTCCCTCCACATGTCTCTTGGTCGTATTCATTCGGGTTTACACTGGATATGGGGTGTGAGGATGGAGCGGTGGATCGTACAGCGCAATCCACCCATGACCTCTCTGTAGGCATGGGCGTAATGTATCTTTTTTATGCAGACCACAATTGTATGCAAATTCGGAATCGCATACCGCCAACCATGTTGCATTACTCACTATTACTCATGAGGACTTTGAATAACTCATATGGCACCACCGATCTTCCGTTGCATGTGACGTTGCAGCTACTGATCGTGTGTCCACAACACAGTTAATGCTGGCAGGCCACATATCTGAGTTTTCAGTCCAGTTTAACTTCAACCTCGTGATACGCCTATTCTTTTATCAGTCATTAGTGAAATCCAGTCCATTACAGACAGCATAACTATGTGATCCACGTAAGCATCATTATGTCACGCAACAGGTTCTGATGGCTGGGTCAAATGTTGCGCATGCCCGCACACCGACTCCCGCGACCTCATTGTTTATGCGCCAGGAGTGTGGATGGAAAAAATGAGGAGAGGCCAATCGATGATTCGATCAGTAGTCATGAAGTCTCTCACTTCAAATGGCGTCGGTTAGTGCTCCCCGACTGCCTGGCTGGGGACCGAGGGACGACGAACACGTTTGATTGGATACACTAGCTGATATGGCGAAGTGTCGGCCGCATTGGCGTTTGTCTTGAGACTTTCTTTGTCCATCCCGCTCCCCTTTAGATTCCCCCTCTAAATACCATCTCATACGGAATGTATAACACAAAATTTAACATTATGTTACTAGATTTTTGAATTTTTATGCTTTACTTTTTATTATTATCTTATCTTTTTGTATTGCGGCACATTCGCTTTGGTACTTTTCTCACCCTCAACTAACGTGTATTGATGATGATGTTGAGCGTGCAGACCATTTTCAATGTTTCACAAAATGCCTCTGTTTACGGAGTCGCAACGACTCTTGATGGACGTGTGCAAGGTTAGTCTGCACTTTTATCAAGTAACAGTTTAAAGACACGAACTAAGTCCGGATAACTCCATTGAGTTAGTCGGAAACTGAAGGAAAGAAATCCCGTCGGCGAAGTGCATTGCCTCAGGTTGCCTGCACGGCCATACTGGATTACTTTATTTTCTATACCATTTGTATGTATTCTATCGATACTGCATTAAGTATCTTATCGGAATTTTCGGGTTAAGGGTCGTACTTTTCCTCTGTTATGAAGTCTACTGATGTCGCAGTGCCTGACGTAGTTGAGATTTGTTAGAGTAAATTGAACTCCTCTGGTCGTCTGGGTTCACTTTCGTGGTTTGAAGTTTAAGTCAAGTCTCTTCCTGTAATCTAATTGACCCCTGAGAATAAGCGATCTGGTTGCTTTCTTCCCAAGCACAGTCGCTTGAACCCAATTCTCGCTGAGTCCAATTCGGTCAGTTATGATCGTTCAGTCATTAGATCGTTACCATCCAATCATCTGCTCGTGCTTTGTTTTTGCACTTCGGTGTTCATTAACACTTCGTAATCGATCTGCTCCAACCCTCATTTCCGTGCCCAACTCTGCATCTTTCATCACACCCCTCACCTTAAACTGTTGCCCACTTTATGCTTTCGGTTGTTATGACCAAAGCGATCAGTGCCTGCTCCATCGCATTCCAATATTTGGGCTGAGGTTGGGGTACACTTCACATACTACTGAGTCGCGTTACTGTGGTGGACCATAAAACAGGTGTGAGGACAACATAAGCGCCGAACAAATGGTCCAACGAGCACAACGGCAGCGAGACAACTGTTGTCTTTTTGAGTCAAAATTACCCACCAATTTATAGAAGCAAATCGAAACAAACTCTTCAAAGTGAAAGGTAAACGTAGCAAGTTGGAAACCTCTGGTCTAATCTACAAAATCTGCCGAAACCGGGACAAAGACTACATAGGATAAACAGGAAGAAAGCTTGGCGCACGGCTGCATAGACATAAGATAACCATTCGCCATCATGATCAGAACTCCTTCATATCCGTGCATATGGATGTCGGAAACCACCAGTTCTATCTGGAGCACGTCAAAATCTTCGGAAGAGCCGCAAGCGCATGAGTTGATTGAAGCCTAGAATTCAAAGCAGAACTCAATCAATAAGCACTTAGATCCCGAAGTCGCTTACGAGACTCTGCGGAACAAGCTTTTAAAGCCGCACTGACGATGTTGCCTAGTCTGGTAACGAAACGTCTGCAAAGTAATCATTCAGCTCAGAGAGCAGTGTAAAGCGCACATTCAAACCCCGAGCTACGGATATTCTCAACCATTTCACAATCACTTCGTATGCTGTGAATTTTTAACTTGTTTGGACTTTTAATTTCTACACTCTGGTTATTCGCTGTTAATGACAAAAGCCATTTCCAACGGTCAAGCCTTTAACCTCAAGGCACCCGACATACTCATAAAACAGGTCAGCTAAATAGCATTTACGACTAGCATTCCTTACCTCGAGCGTTACGCGATGGAATAAGCATACGCAAATAAGCCGACCCATTCCAATTGTAGTGACCTGGAGATTTCCCCCGCTTGATAGTGTAAATCAATCTAAAATAATATGAAGTGATAGTTTTCTTATGTATTAGGGAAGCTGGTGGTTCACTTGCTCGAGTGGTGCTCAGGTTTGTTTAAGTCACACACACACACACACTAGCTTCCGCTGGATCGTGGTACTCATCACCCAATTACATCTTCTCTAGCTAATTTATTATTTATTTTTTAGCCCTAGGTCCTAGCGTCATTTTAATATGCCTTTCTCTAGTTTATTTCTATGTGTTCTTTCGCGCACTTTTGGTTTTCCGTTTCATCTGGATACTTACTATATAGCGCCCGACTGATGCGCTATAATTGGTGTCCCCGCTGTAATCGGTGAGTCTTTTACTAACTTTCTAGCTCCGGCCACATATCTCATCATCTAATTTTTTGCTTTTCCATATTTTTAATTTTGGGGTTCAATTTTGCTGGTTCAGTGTTTTTCTCGCTATGTAATCGGATCGCGTAGATTCTGACGCCCAGGTTAGTACTATCCTGCCTTTCCGCGAAGCTAATCCTAACGCCTGGTTCGCGCAACTAGAATCGCACTTCCTTTTGCATCTTATTAAGTTCGAATGGATTAAGTCCCTCCATGTGGTAACTGCGCTTCCTCCACTTGTTTTCAACGACATTGATGACATTCTAAATTTGCCCGACGAGCGGAAAAAGTATGAAGCGATTGAAACTGCCGTTCCGAAAAGAACAGGATTGTCTGACCAACAAGAAGTTACAAAACTCTTGAACTAAACCGACCTCGGCACACCACGGTTAGCGCGGTCCGGTTCTGTGGCTGCGAGTCTTGGCCTGTTCGCGCAAAGGATGTTGAGAGGCTGTCTGTTTTTGATCACCCATGCCTTCAGAGCATTGCTGGTATACGCTGGCAACATCACACTGGTATTAAGGATGTTCGACGGAGGGTTTTCTAATCAGACAGACTTTGCCGGCCGCTGAACAGCGTAATTCCACTTCGCAGGCTTCAGTGGCTTGGGCATGTAATTCGTATACCTACTGATCGGTTACCGCACCGTGTCCACTTTGCGCACGCAGAAGTCAGCTGGAAACGAAAGCAAAGTGGCCAATGTATGACTCGGGCCAGAAGTATGGTGGAGCTAACCTCAAAGTTGGCTGTGATTGGGTTCTCTTGACTCCCTGGCTGGGGGCGCAAGAATCACGAACACGCATGGTTGAAAACCCTCACGGATATATGGCAAGAAACCGTGCGCAATGACGGACGTGTGACAGACTCTACTCACATAAACACTGTTTTATATTCTTTTTTCTATTTTCGTTTGTTTATTGCATTTCCCATGCGTTGTGGCACTACGTCAATTGTACTATTAACCATGCGTTATATATATATATATATATATATATATATATATATATATATATATATATATATATATATATATATATATATATAGTTGGCGGCATCCGGTTTCGGATTTGCTTTTCACTGTGGCCAGCCACAGGACGCCTGCGCCTACAGAGGGACCATGGGTGGCTTGCGCTGCACCACCCACAGCTCCAACCACATACCCCATATCCAGTGTAAACCCGAAGGAATAAGACCGGGAGGCATGTGGATGGGAGCCACATTTCATCAACGGAGCCGGCCCACACTCCTTCACAGGCAAACACAAGCACGCTGTATTTGGGGAAACAGGCGCACACAAGGCGGTGGCTGGACCGTAGTCCGCTCCACACTGAGTGCATGGAACCGCTCTTTTAGCCTAGCATGGCCACAAGGACAGTGCACCCCGTCCGCTCCACCAACGACCAACTGTCTCCTGGAGCCAGTATGAACAATGTAGTGGGTAATAGACAGGTAGGCACCTTGTCAACATGCACATCAAGCGCAGACACACCGGGGATATCAAACAACAGCCATTCACTTTAAACGACAAGTTGAGATAAAATAAATCCAATAATGCATACAGATACGGTGACATAACTCTTCCCTAAATTACCATAAGTTGGTTAGCAACGAATCCGCGATAAGTAAGAAATGTCCACAAGTTACTTAAAAATGCTACAAACGCAACAAAATTGCCGAAGATAAGCGCAATTAGGGTAAGCAACGTGGCCAGTTAATAGAAGAGTATTCAGGTAGGCAGAACAAACCAAATAAAGTGGAATGAAATTTATCCAGATTAAAAAGACCTAGTTTAAGTGTAAGTAGGTTTAGCCCAACTGCGGTGAAGAAGCATCAAGAATGCAACCTCAGTCTCAGCATATATATATATATATATATATATATATATATATATATATATATATATATATATATATATAAGCCATACTCGGCTACCGTACGTTCTGATTGACACGATCCTTCATGCATAACCGTTCTTTATCCTAGGTGTCAGGCAACTAGGTACCCGTCTTTTTTGAACAGGTATTTTTGCCAGTTCATCACACCTTAAGATTGCGAGAACTTTTGTTCGAAGAAATAATGGCCATTCTGCTCACCCGGTCCGTGATTTCTGCTGCTGCTGCTCACTCGTAACACTAACTGAAGACTTGAAATTGGTTGCTGTATTCGAATTGGTCGAGTGAATTTCATGGCTAGATAGCTGGACAGTCACTCAGCTACAGATCCTTAGATATCCATTACACCCCCATCGGCAGCGCGAACTCCCTCGACCTCACTTTGTGAGAAGGGACATGGTTGGGCTACTAGGACACTGTAACTACCGACAGACTGTGCTTTATTGCCATTCTATGGTTTGCGGTGCGGTGGATACCGGGGATCATTTTTTACTTGCGCCCTCCTTTTAAGTCCATGTGCACCATTGTGCGCTTTCTGGTGCTGGGTATTCGCATCCTCAACCATTTATGCATATAGTAAAACATCAGCCTGCTAACCATAGTGCCTTAATTATGCATTGTTTTAACCTTATGCTAGGAATTTACTTGTTGACATGGCGAGAAGCTGACCTCAATGGCGTTTGTGTTGTACGTTTTTTGTCCCTCCTCCCGTCTACTTTCTCCAACCACGATCCCACACTTCGTCCATAGTCTCATAGTTAGCAATATATTTCTTCTTTTTAGTTTTTCTGTATTCTGTACCGTTTAGTATCACGCTTTTTCAAATGCTTAACATTTTTTTATTATTACACCCTCAACTACCGTGCAGTGCGGTACTAAAGAGGCTAAAGACCTTAGGATGACACCAATTTTGTTTTAATATTACTGTCATTCTTTGGGTTTTACACAAGATTGCTTCTATTCCCGAAAATTTGAATGCTTACTTGGAACTGATTATACCGATGCATCTTCAACTTTCTTCTCGGTGCCTGTATCGGTCAACTTTCTTGCATCTAAAACTGGATAGATTCATAATCTGTTGGCCTCATGACATTGTCTGCTTGAATTATGGATTTTTATATTCAGCACGACTTTGCTGACATTCTTGACACGTCGTATCTTCTGATTGCTTTAGCCCGGACCCTCAGGTTACTTCCTGATAAGCTTTAATCTCCAGTGTTATTCGCACGTCCTGGACACTTTAAAGCGAGAAGAATGTGCCCACGTTTACTTTTCATGAGCTCTGAGTTTGTTTCTAGTTCTCTGTTCTTTATCTACGAAGATGATTCTCGAAGGTGACCTCCACTCTGTGGTTTCACCTACTGTGCCCTACTCTTTTCCGTATATTGCTCGCCCCGTTTATTCAACGTGTTCTTTTGTCTCCTATTCTCTACCTCCAAGCTGGTGGATACACTGCAGAGGAAGTGAAAGTGCTCAAGACAACTTCAAAGATCAACGGTCGAGAATATCCTCCGTTCTTGGACTCGATTGATCGCCGCATGCGGTTCTCGTTTCCAAAGCCATTCTCGTATGTAATATTTGTTTTCCGTCACCTCCTTGGCCATTTTTCCATAGTGTCTGTTGCAATCGAACCCCGCTGTTTGTACTTGACATCCGTGCTACATTACACACCGCACCTAAGAGATGATCACTGACTCGGCTCCACTTTACGGGACTTGACCGAAAGCACGAATAGTTCTGAGTTGTGAAAAATTACGTAAAAATACCTTTCCAATCACTCAGAAGACTAAACCCCGCACACCGCATCCCAGTCACGTTGACTTTTAGTTCATCTACTCCGGTGCTTTGAATTTCTGCACTAATCTTTGGGGCACTCATATTGGAGTCTTCTGCCAGACAACTGAGATCATACGAAGTGGACGACAAGATTGCATCAGTCTTAGGGAACGTGACGGGGTGTATGTGTGTGTTCAAAAGACCCCGTAAATTGATGGGTGCCTCATCTTTGAGCGTTCATCAAACAGACTGTCTGTGTTGGTAAACTACTTAGCTGCACAGTAGAACTCCCTGTGTGTTTTGCTGTATTCTTCGCGTAAGACTGGACCACTCCAGCATCTTCGTTCATTGTAGCTCCTCTTTCGAAGGATCAGGTCTTCGCACAGAACAGCGATTCGATTAATTTTTAGCTTTGACCATGGTGAATTCCGTTTGAGCTTGTTGCATTATTTTAATTTCTCTTGTATTATGGGGTTTGCGTGTGGATTAGATTACCCACAGTTATTCGAGTGCGATGTAGAGTAATCGTCCCGGTCGCGATTCCATATCGTGATTGTTAATACAGTAGAATCTCGCCACCACGTTTGTCTTACTTGAAAGACTACTGACTTCGTTCACATGAGGTTTTACTGTGAAGCCTACTGTCTGGGTTCCATGCATACATTTTTACTTCGCGATTTGTTCTGAATCTGGTAGTTCCCCTCCTTGTCATTTTACTATCAGTTCACATAATACTAATGATGATAATATTAATACCTATTTTTCTCTAAATCCGAGCAACTGTCTGTAGCAACACTGATCAATATATCCGAAACTAACTATGCTATTGCATGGTTTGTGCACACATGTGCACTCTTAAGTATCAGATTCAGGTAATAGCCATTCAGCGGATGTTTGAGGCGAAAGCCAAACTCTGGAAACCTAAGTGTTTAGACGTTTCTAGGACTGTCTTAAAATAGATTGAAAAGCACGGAAAGAAGACGAAGGCTGGTAGATGTATGCATTTCGTATTGTCTCCTCAGTACCATTAACAATAACCGATATGCATAGATATAACTAACAGTGGTTGCAACCAGACAACATTAACGTGCAGAACGAATGACGGAAGTTCACACCTACGTCCAAGGCAACTTTAAGCTGAAAATATATTGTTTCTGAACCCACAAGGCTGGCTTAATCCGGCTTACAGCGATATCCTCAGTAAACCGAAGGAAGCCGGGATAAGTGTGACGTAACACAACTTTAAACGCTGAGCCCAGCTCTGTCCGGTGACCAGAGTCTAATAGGTGTTTGCCTATCGAGGTAGCCGGCGGTCTGCGCGAACGTGGAGTCTGACGAGGGTAGGCAATCTGAGAAACTTCACGTTGTGCCCATCTTGGTACATGTTCCTTTATTCGGGAAGTCAGCGTCCTATTAGTGCTGCCTATGTAACTTTTTCCGTAGTCAGACACAAATTGGTATACACAATGCGAGTTGGCACCAATAGGCTTAGCTACCTACTTTGGACGTCTGGGCAAATTTCGGGTTCGGTTGACTAAGATAACTTGTGCAGCATAGTAACTTCCTTGTGTAGCCGAAATTATACGCTTAGTTGTCTTCAGCGTGGTTAAATCACCTTTGAAAGGTAACTCGATATACAATTTCTTCTTGGCTGCCGTGTGCACCAAGTCCTTTGGGCCTCGCAGTTGGCTGTGTTTCTCGATAAACCTTCGAGTGTAGCTATTCGAACGGCTCACGAAAGGGGTTATATTAACCAATGTCGAAACGCGCATAGTTCGTCACATGGAATTGCTTCTCCTCCACCGCGTGACAGACTTCGATACAGTTAATAGTTCGAAACCGAGTGGTAGCACTATTCCACAGTTGTATGGATCCCCAAAGATACATAAGAGTGAAGTGCCACTCAGGCCAATCCTTTCAATGATGAACCTGCCCCAGCATAAACGCTCGTTGGTTAGTAAACTTGCTAGTCCGCTAAAACAACAGCTCAATCCCTACAGTCTTAAAGACTCGTTTCAACTCATCGATGATCTGAATGAACTCAACCTGTCAGACAAAGTCATATGTTCTTTGGATGTAGAATACTTATTCACCAACGTGCCGCTACATCAGACGGTTGATTACATATGCGAATTAACAGAAAACAGTGGCTGTTGGCTACCATTTCCGACTGAATTGCTAAGAGAATCTCTACTATTGTGCACGGAGAATGTGGATTTTCACTTCCGGAATACACCATACCGTCAGATTGACGGCGTAGCAATGGGTAGCCCATTAGGTCCTGTGTTCGCTGATTTCTTCATGCTGATGGTAGAAAGAAGCATTTCTACGGAAATAGCCCAGATGCCCTACTACAAACGATATGTCGATGATATCTTGGCTTTCTGTTCGTCGGAGCAACAGCTCACACATTTGATAGAACGGCTCAATGGTGCTCATGCTAACTTACGGGTTACATGCAAACTAGAACAGAACAATTGTCTACCATACCTGGTCGCAAGGATGATGGATTGATTAAAAGGTCCATTTACCGAAAATCAACTTGGTCCGGTCAGCACCTTCACTTCACCAGCTTCACACCAGTGCGGTACAAACGGACACTTGTGAAGATTCTAGTTAGTCGTGCCAGACGAATTTGTTCGGCCGACTGTCTGGACGACGAGCTAGCTAGTGTTAATTACAGGAACACTAATGGCGAATAGCTACACTCGAAGATTTATCGAGAAACACAGTCAACCGCGAGGCCCAAAGAACTTGGGGCACACAGCAGCCAAGAAGAAAGTGTATATCGAGTTACCTTTCAAAGGTGATTTAACCACCCTGAAGACAACTAAGCGTATAATTTCGTCTACACAAGGTAGTTACTATGCTGCACAAATTATCGTCGTCAGCAAAACCCGAAATTTGCCCAGACCTCTAACGTAGGTAGCTAAGCCTATTGGGGCCAACTCACACTGTGTATACCAATTTGTATCTGACTGCGGAAACAGTTACATAGGCAGAACTAATAGAACGCTGACTTCCAGAATAAAGGGACATGTACCAAGATGGGCTCAACGTGAAGTTGCTCAGATTGCCTACCCTCGTCAGACTCCATGTTCGCGCAGACCGCTGGCTACCTCGATATGCAAACACCTATTAGACTCGGGTCACCGGACAGAGCTGGGCTCATCGTTTAGAGTCGTGTTACGTCACACTTATCTCGGCTTCCTTCGGTTTACTGAGGCTGTCGCTATAAGCCGGATTAAGCCAGCCTTGTGTGTTCAGAACAAATTATTTGTCAGCCTAAACCTGCTTTGGACGTAGGTGTGAATTTCTGCCATACCTTCTGCACCTTAGTATTGTCTGGTTGCACCCACTGTTAGCTATAGCTATGCATATCGGTTATTGTTAATGGTACTGCATGCATCTACCATCCTTCGTCTTCTTTCCGTGCTTTTGAAATCGTTGGGGGAACTAACTGCTTTCGAATAGTTTGTCAATACTTTTTCCAGGTGAATATAATCGTTATCGTGTTCAGGACAGGGTAACAGGTTTGCTATGAGAAATTGCCACGTTCTCAATTGACCTGAATGTGATTTGCAGTTTATTCCACAGATAGGTATATCCGACGCGAAAGAAATAAGAACGTATGCTTGTTGCAGCCTCTGATATATTCTGCGCATATTCTTCATTACTAAGCTCTCAAATTGATCTGTGTTTCGATTCGAGTGCAGACACATCGGAATAGGTTTTTGTGTGTGTAGCAGGCTTTTAAAGCAGCAAGTTGTGCTTCAATCGTCGCATCCAAAATGTTCGAGTTGTAGTTGGTTACGAAGCTCGCAATGATTCATGGCGGAATGTTTACCAGTCACGTGTTTGGTAAACGACTTCTATAGGTGTTCCAGCACAGTTTTTCCGCTTTCTCTCATGTGATCGTACATTTTGCTGCAGTAACCGAGGATGAGGATGGTGTGTAGCATGGTTTGCGGGAACTTTGTTGCATGTGCTAATCACATATTGTCAGGCACGCGCCTGCTTCATTTTGGGCCTGTTCGGAGCAGTCGAACGTCGATGAGCACCTTAGCTTGAGATTGCGCGTGCACAGCTGCATTGAATCATGTTCGTTGTTTGGTATAGTATATCCTTCGGAGATGCAACAACCGTAGAGGGTAATATCGACAGCTTCTTCATCCACGAGTGGCACTATGTCTAGGAGAATTTAAATCATCTTGAATGAGCAGTAGCGTTCATTTAAGTTCGTCATGTCAAAGCTTATAGACGATCTTGCATATGTTCAGCGAATGAAAACGGTTGATTATATTTTACGGACATGGTAATATCATTGTTGTAGAGCAGGAATAGCGAAGGACCGAGGACGTTCCCTTGGATGACCCCACTAGTAATGGGGCGTGGAAAAGTGCGTTAGTCACCTAATGTGACCACTTGGTAGCGACCACTCAGGCATGACGATAGCCAAACTAGTAATAGGCCCCAGATTCCAAAGTCCTCTAACTTTTTAACAACCTCTTACGAGGTATCCAATCGAACGGTACGTATGTGTCCTTCAACTGAGTTACTATGTGGTTACCTCACATTGTAGCGTTAAGAAATTTTCAAGGCTTTGTACCGTTAGCTTTTGTCCACTGCTCATTTTTTCCTATTCTCCCTCTTGTCATCAGCGATAGCCATGGATACTTGGCGCTTTCGGAAAAACAACGAGCTTCCTTTGATCGTTGGGTCCGCCCCTCAGACTACTTGGAGAATCCCAAAATGATTATGGCCGTTTCGTGTTTCTCCATTCGACAAACGGTCGTCACCGACTGCTCATTTGTGGCTTCCATGGCTATTGCTGCACAATACGAGCGTCGTTTCAAAAAACGTCTGATTACCAAGTACGATGTTTACGACATTTTTGGCGTTTTGTTATGCTTGCATGCGGCGCTTGATGTGCTTGTAGACAAACTGCCTACTTGTCTATTACCCTACCCTTGTCGCCGTGCTAGGCTCGAAGAGTGGTTCCATCCAATGTGGAGCGGACTACTGTCTAGCCACTGCGTTGTGTGCGCATGCTTCCCCAAATACATCATGCTTGCGTTTACCTGTGAAGGAGTGTGGGCCAGCTCCGTTGATGAAACCTGGCTCCCACCCACATGTCTCACAGCCTTATTTCTTCGGGTTTACACTGGATATGAGGTGTGTGGATGGAGCTATGGGTGGTGCAGCGCAAGCCACCCAATGTCCCTTTGTAGGCGCAGGCATCCTGTTGCTTTTCTCGTAGAGGCCACAGTGACAGGCGAATCCGGAACCTTATGCCACCAACCACGCTATTTTCTGAATTTTCCACCTGGCTTGCATGTATTCCCTAGCAAATTTCTTGGGTGTATTCGCACGCTACTGTCGTTCATAGTCTAGTGAATCAATAAACCTTCTCGAGCATCCCATCTTACGGCAGCGAACTATAAATTCAGTCGTTCCATCCTGCTTATGTGCGTGCATCCTCAATTGATTGGATACAATCCGGTCATTCACATTGAACTGACATTTAGGACAAGGTGCCCGATCGAATATGACGAGTTGGCCTCAAGGTGTCCAATTCGCTGTATGGTTTTAGCTAACTCTGACGGGCTTACGCGAATTCTTCCAAGTTACCTACTGCTTATCCGGCGGAATCAGTAGTTGCACTAGAAGCTCTCAACGTCATAGGGTGCTTGGCGAGTAAGTTCCACACTTTGGGACTGTTGTGTCCGCGAAAGCAGAAGTAACTCACTAAAGTAGGCGAATGTATGGGCATTCTGTGAACATGTAGACGCATGCGAGGTAGCCACTCATAAAGAAGTACTTACATTCGTCCAATGACCGCTAAGTGCACGTCCATTGGAACATGACGAATCAGTGGGGAGGATAATTTTAATTGCCTACTGTAGAGCTTACTCTAGCAACACCACAGGGACTAAGCTTGCTCCTGGACAGGATTTTGCGTTACAGCAGTAATCTCTACCGATAACTCAATGCCGTGCAGTCGCAAGTTACTGTACGCGAGACTGTAGGACCCAATACTCGAACCACAAACCTAGAGCTTCCTCAACCATGCCCTCTCCTCAGCAGTCAGGTGCATCATAGTGGATGGCGGGCATCAGCATTACGCCGCACCGACGTTTCGCTGCCACGCGACCACCATCTGTAAGCTGAGTATGCTGCCACGTCGCCCGCACCCTTTCGGCGAACGACCGCACTGTGGATATTAGGTATTATTTGCCAACTTTACAGGAGAAAGGTGTCTCCGATAAATAGCTACATTTCATGAGAGCGCTTTACGCGCATAGTTCGGGCAGAATGACGGCTTATGGCATACTGTCACCGTGCTCTGATATTTTCAGCGGTGTGAAACAAGGTTGCCTGCTGTCACCTTTCCTCTTCAAATTCGCAATCGACGCGGCTATGTGAACTCCGTTCACCGGACTCGGCTTTAAAGGTCTGGAGCTGTTTTCAGGTGAGTGATTTCTTGAGTTAGAGTGTGCCAACGATACTGCTCTAATCGGTGACAGCTCACAAACGTGCCATGCGGCAGTGGACCACTTAACACTGAGTACTGATCGTTTTCGGCTGTCATCTGCACTCTAGCTACAAAGTCCTCCAAGATTGACAGGGACCCACCCCTGCGCTAACCATTCTTGAGGATCAGCTAGAAGTCGTCCAGTAATTCACGTACCTTGACAACTATATCCTAACCGGTGTAATTGATGCGATCACAAACCTTGTAGCAAAAGCTCGAGGTGCCTTTGCCAATCTCTGCCAACTGTGGCGTTGGCACTACTTCACTCTCGCTGAAGGGCATAGTTCACGATACAGCCGTCTGTTCAACCCCCCTGTACGGTTGCGGAACCTGCCTCATCAAGTCGACACACATAAAGCGGCTTGTTACATTTGACCATAGCTGCTTTCCCAGCTTACCACACTTCTAATTGGAACACCGCGTGAGTCATGGGCGTCTCGTATTTAGTGCAGAAAGATCGAGTTAACCACTCGGCACCGTTATATCACGCACCAGCTTCCGATGGCTGGGCCACTTGTTACGTATGCCAGCACACCGACTCCTCGACGTGCGTTGTTAGCGCGACCAGTGTCTGGATGGAAGAAGTGGAAGGGAGGCCAAGCGATTACTTGGTCAAGAGGAATGAAGTCCGTCCATTCCAAGTTGGCTTCGGTTGGTGTTTCCCGACTGCTAGACTGGGGTCCCCAGGACCATGAACACCTATGTTTGGATACACTAGCTGACATGGCGAAGAGTCGGCCTCAGTGGCGTTTGTGTTTTAAGTCCTTTTGTCATTCCCCAATTTCTGCTTTCTTTTCTAACTATGATCTAATACTCGGTGGGTAGCATGATATTAAGTATAATATTGCTTGTTTTTCCTTTTTTATTCTGTAATGGCAAGGATCTTGTTTTTTACATATCTTTTTGCATTGCAGCACAATAACTGAGGTGTTTCTCATCTTTAGCTAACATGAACTGATCACTTGTAATGATGGACGGCGAGACTAGACGTATCACCGGTAACCATTTTCACACCTCGTTATTGTCACCTGACGCATAGCGGCATTGACAACTCGGTGCTGTTTGCACGATCGTAGGTTTGAGACCTGGAAGATTCGATGAGAAATATGCGTTGCTGACGTTTCAGTCGAAGTAAATGGCCTTCCAACCGTCTGACAGCTGTATGACGGGGTCCGATTGTGACAGATCCGCCTACCTCTGTCGCATAACCATGTTCCGTTTGTTCTCCCTCCATATTTGGCGTCACTGTTAAAATTCCTTGGACTTTCCGTCGACGATACTTCTTTTGCTCCAGTTTTTCGCGTGACCTTTGGCATTCGGTCTTATCATCATGCTTGTCTTACACATATTGATCACTGCATTTCGCGAAATAATTGCTCAACTTCTGAGCCGTTAAGAAACATTGCTAGTTGTGAGCGCACTGTTTTAGTCAACTTGTGATATGTTTCGTTGTCCACTCCGTAGTTCTCTTTTGCACAGTGAACCATTTGTTGCGAAAGCAGGAGTAGCTGTATTGCTGCTGTCCGGATCTGGCCACACTATATCCCACCTGTTCTTTTGAACTATTAAAATATTGATTTTCTCTTCCATTGCATGGAAGAAATGCTTTCATGGAGCTGATGCAACCGGTCGATGCACTCACCTGATGGCAACATCAGACTGCTTCGTTTCATGCACCTTTTGCTTCCCTTGCTAAAACGTAGATTTTCATTTTCCGACGTAACCAGTGCTACCGATGGAGACTTATCACTTTTTCCCTCTTTTCTATAGCATTATCTTCCCACACAACCGGAATGGGGAAGCGGTCTACAACCCGTGTGGTATTTATGTGGTTCGTCTCCACATCAACGGTGTCCCACGTAAGGTATGCTTCCCCTGTGAATCCGTTTGATTTGCCTATTATTCCCCTATGTGATTTCATTGTTTGTCGCATCGGCATATGCTTTTGTGACGTCTCCAGGGGAAAACATAGATTGGCCACTCGCCACACTGCTCTCTCTGTGATGGCAACTAGCAAGTTCCGCGAGCGAAACCGACGCGCGGTCAGTGCACTGCAAAACCATCGTAAGTTGACCACAACTCTACAGGCCGGATGAGTCGTGAGGAATTCGTTTGCAGTGTTGTGGGTCAAGGTCACGGTTTTGCTCCTGAACCAAGGTAAGTGAGCTGTCAACGCGCGTGAAACTGACCCTGAGTGAACGGTAAGATGGTAGCTGATCAACCGAGCGAACGGAACATCATCATCATTATACACGTTAGCTAGTAGTGGGAAACACCCCAGCTACTGTGCCGCAATACATAAAGGAAAAGGAAAATAAATACAAGTTGCATGCCAGCTGACCCACCATCAACGGATACGCATCGTTCCGGTAACTACCAACCGGCTACTAGGCACAACGAAAAATTACTATGTAAAATTATATTACGCTACGAAATGAAATCGTGGTTGGAGGAGAGGCTAAAAGGGATGGGGTGGAGCAAGGAAACTCACAACACGAACGTCACTGAGATCGACTGCTTGCCATGTCAACAAGTGTATCTAGCCAAACGTGTTCATCATCTTTTGGACCTCAACCAGGGAGCCGTGACGCTCCAACCGAGGCCAGCTCCGAAGTGAGGGCCTTCATTCCTCTCGACCAAGTCATCGCCTGGCCACCCCTCCTCTTCTTCCATCCACACCCCCGGCGAGCAAACAATGCACGTCGCGGCAGTCGGTGGGCTAGCATGCGCAACACGTGGCCGAGCCATCGGAGCCTGGTGCGTGAAATGACGGTGCTGAGCGGTTCAGTTCCTTTTTCTGTGCCGTAAACAAGGCATCGAACACACTCGTTACTCACGCGGTGTTCCCACCAGATGTGAGCCAAACGAACCAAGCCAGCAGGTGGAAAGCAAACCAGCTCCACCGGTGCAAGCTGACCACATTTGCACAGACCGGTTGAACGGTGGAGAATTGGTTTAGGGTAGTGTGAACAAGGCGCAACTTTGTTCCCCTCAAGATGCCTGGTCCGTAAAGCAACACGGGCTAATCAATTCTCTACAGCTGGCTGGCAAGAATCCAATCAGTGTACATGCGTTATACTGTAAACTAACTGTTCCTTAATAACCGGATTTTTGGATAGCTGGCTAGTCTTCGTTTTGCTTCTCGAAGACTCTCGATACGCTGTTTGGTATTCATTTGCACTCCACCAGGCAGAGATAACAGCAATGTGGTTCGAACCCGGGACCCCTGCAATATCAGCCGAACCCCTACTTTTAACTGGCGCACAGTGCTTGTCACAACGGTCAATAACTGATTAGTAGGTTCCTTTTGAAGTACACGTTGTGCGTGAATGGTTTGTGGCTCACAATGTCAATGTGAACCACGGTTCGTATTACAGTAGACTTTGGCCAGCGCAGTATCTGTGTCCGTATCAGCAGCATGTTAATATTTGGTGTTGCTCGGCCGCACCATTGCCTTCCAAGGCAGGTTTCGGACTTGATGGCACTCGTTAGGTGGAGATACTCAGTGACTGAATTGGCCGACGTTCACTACAAAGGTTAATGTATTGTGTGGGCAGAGATCTTCCCGGTTGCCCTGACCGAGGAAGAGGGTTGAGCCTTTGATCATAAAGACCTCACCTGCAAGGCAGCGGGGTGCTTCACCAAGGCCGTTGACACTCGACTGGCTCAATTGCAGTATCAGTCCACAGAGAAGCTGGTGGCCAATACGGTTGTTTACCCTTCCTCAGTTAAACACTCACCTCCAGTTACAGAAGTGAGTGATCACTGACCCTATAGCCGGTCACATTGGCTTTGACACAGCGCCGTATGAGCTCTTGTGGTATTTGATAGAAAACCAAGTGACTAGCCAAGAACTCCCCGCGTTTTGAGGCTGCCGCTGAATGTCCGCGGCTGCTTATTCATCTGGCCTGCAAAGCAGACGAGACATATTCGCAGTTACCTTGCCAAGGAAGGCTTTCCCCAATCCGCAACCTGGGGTCTCACTTGATAGCGTACAGCTCCGCCACGCGAATCGTAAGGAGACGTTTCTAAAGGAATTTCATGCAAGATTTTTCCTTGACAAATTCCAATATAGAAAGAAACACAACATTACAACAGGATATTCTGAATATTTCAGGTATTCTCATCAGCTGTTCACATACATTCCGTGGAGTAATGATGCTTCGTTTAAAATTAACCACCGACCAAGCTCATTCAGTTGAAATTTAAAACAATCAATGCGAGGCTGGTCATAATCTCAGTCTGTTTGCACAAAATGGGTTTCAGCCCTCCAGTTGCGGAAGATTCAACACAAACCGAAGCAGTCGAGCATTGTTCTGTCGGTTAATTATCCTGATTGATTCACGAGGGTTTTTCTATATGGAGCAGTCTAAGATATGCTAAGCATTAGAGCTAGCCGCTAGCTTGTGACCATTCACGACCGTATTACGTGGAATATGCACTAAAATACTTATTGCCAGACCCATGTACTTGCTACCATAAGTACAATGAAGATGGGAGACACACATGAGGCGGTAACTGGAGGATCTGGCTTGTCCAGGTTGGATTTACCTAGCAGCCTCGTTATTTGGGGGCAGTAGCACAACTACGGTCGTGTATTAAGATCTATTTATCATTTGGCTTAGACGGTGCTGAAATCTTCTGTCATCTTTCAAAGCTGAATTTAGGGAGCACGTTGTGTGGTTGGGTTGCGACTCGCAACCTCTAATGAGACCTCGGCTCTTTTTGAGGTAAACCTCGGTCATTCCGATCTCGAGGACCGTATCCTGATTGGATATATTGGGGTGTTGCTCTTCCCAACCCTGGCACACCCCGATATCGGAATGACCGAGGTTTACCTCAAAGTGATCCGAGGTCTCATTAGAAGTTGCGAATCGCAACCAAACCACACAGCGTGCTTCCTAAATTCAGCTTTGAATTACTTTCCGCTATGCCAAGCGTTGCTCGCGGATCTCAGTAGCATAGTGTTCAGGGCGTCAGCCATGAGCTACTAAGCTCTGAATTCCACCCCAGTTCAGGCTATCTCCACCTGACGCGTCTAAATCAAGACGAAACCGCAGTCGCGGTGTGCCAGGGTTGGGAAGAGCAACACCCAAATATATCCATTCTCTCATCTTTGTTCTCTTTTAACGCTACGGTCTCCGAAGATTTAGTTCAGGATTATGCGATTGTTGCTCGATCGAGTAATGGGTGTGCACTATTCTCATTTTTTCACCAATTTTTAAAGTTTGGCATTTGTACTCGTACATTTGTAATTTATAATGTAACATGCTGAAAATGCACCCATTTTGATACAAAAAACCTCTACCGGCTTGATTGCAAACAGCATGTCGCAACGCTGTAATCAGTGGAGGGCCAGCCGGTTTCTGTATGATTTACAGGTCTGCTGTTTGAACTTTCACTTCATGATTGGCGGACGGAAGTATGAAACACTTACTCTGTCGATTGTGGTCACTGATACCTGAGTCTTGAAATTATCTGTTCCGTTCCTTTCTTCCTCCTTACATTTGAAGTCTGAACCACATGTGTGACCTTTTTATAGCTTGCTACCTGCATTCACTGATTCCATTGTTTGCACAGCTGAGATCGCTCTTTGTTCCACTTCCAAAAGTTCTATTCAACGGCTTACACATCGCGGCAATCCACTTGTTTTGCTGTTTCGGATATTTGCATTACACCGGAGCTCGCTTTTGCTAGCCTAAACTGTTTGTACACACCCCACGTTTGTACTCATTATCGCATTACAGTCGTCATACTGTGTGTGTGTTGTTAGACCACATTCACCGCGCTGTTGACGCACATCCTCATCTTCACAGGTGGTCATTGATGATTTTCTCCCCATGGGGAAGAACGGCGAACTCCTGTGCTCCTACTCAAGCAACCGAAGCGAATTGTGGGTCTCACTGCTTGAAAAGGCCTACATGAAAGTAATGGGTGGCTACGATTTCCCCGGTTCCAACTCGGTAAGCAATTTCCTAAATGTCCTATCCCTATTCACCTTTTTCTTTGTTCTTCTGGTTGGTTTCACGTTTTTGTGTGCGATGGTGTGCTTGCGTTGTAGTCAGCGATATACATAACATGCTCACTTTACTTTCTATCCACATCCAATCTGCGGCCTTCAGGAAATCGTTGTGGTCACCAAGTGGTGCTTGTTGCAACGGTTCGTTGCTCATTTTTGGCTCATCTCGTGTCAATCACATTACCGTGCAGCAAGCGCGTTCGTGGCATATTCACACTTGAGACGACGGATCACTGTAGAGCTGTTTTTGAGATGGTGACGTGAAAGAATACGTCATTCATTCTTTCGGTACTCGATGCTACAGTGTCAAGTGCTCTGAACACCCTGACAGTAGTCTTTTCGATTTGCAAACGTTGTTTGCCATTTATGGTACTCTTAGGAAATGTGACGGAGGCGAATTCCATTCATGTACAACGATAGGAATTTTGTGAGACGCTTATATACGCGTGCTCCACATGCTGAAGCACTGGGCCGACATACCGATGATTTTAGCTATCAACGAACAGCCACTGCAGTTGCTTGATGGGTTGTATCACCTTTGGTGGCCACTTCTCTGAGGAGTTTGCTTCACATATATGCAAAGTCTGTTCCGCGTTCCTTAGACCCAATCCTCTACGGTGGGCGCGGCATCCGAGTCGATGTAATGCGCTGCGATAAGGCCGGTGTTACTGTATGAAGCAGAGATCTGAGCAGTTCGCACTGAAGTATTGCTCAAATCTGATGAGGACACCGGGTGAGCAGTGCTGGAAATCCGTCCTCTGATGCCTCATTGGAGGGTGTATTGAACCTGACCGTTTACCTTTACTCAGTCTTGTCCTCCGTATGCCCATTGACCAGCTTCCTTGGTGTGCATTATATGCTGCCGCGGTACTTAGTTGGGCGAAACCAAGAGGTGATCAGTCAGTTATGTGGCATGAAGGTCTGAAGAACTTGTCTGAGTTCCTTGGTCTGCCCTGCACATGAATCGATCCTCAGCGTAGTTCACGTCAGTGTTTGGAGTACTTCCCAAGACCAAGATGATTACTTTCAAGCTTTATCACCCTCCTTAGCCTCTTTAAAGAAAATTTTGCGGTGGAGGAAATAATTTAATTGGACTGTAATTAGTTAACCTTCACTTGCGTTCCATCGACATTTGACTACAATGGTGGATTGCTTGAATGCATCAGGAGTGTCTTTCACTTACGCGACTTACCGACAGGCCAATAGCATGCACGCGTTCATACAGTTCACTTAAATCATGGTGTGCTGTTTTGTTGAGCCACTATCATTTCCGCAATACAAGATAATACTTCATTGTTTATAGACGCACCTTCCGATGACTGTTCTGCTGCGTCTTTGCTGGTACTTCTTGGTGTAACATCTTTTATCTTCTCTCTGGATGCCAGTCTTCTTGCTACATTCTAGGACGTGGCTGGGCTTATTCTCAGACTATTTGTCAAGTCTGTGTTTTAATGACCACTCCACCATGGCAATTCTCATCACGCTTGGATGTTTGTAAACAACGTACGAACTAGTACCCCAGTGATGGTTCTTATTTGCTGGGTTCATTTATTTTATATTGTAAGAAGAAACGCAAGCGGTACGCTTAAAGCGAACAATTGTTTTCTATTTATTCATCATCAGGCTTTGTACAGAAATATACGTTGAGAAGAGGAGTTCATATGGGAAAACAGAGTAACTATTGATTGAACAAACATCTTTAAATGCTTAACGTAACGTGTCATGTGGTCAAGTGACTGAGGGCATGTGATACCACTGAGTGAGCTCCGATCCATCTTTATTACTGGTTGGCCAGGGTAGTTGTAATGCTTGTACATGCTGCTTCTGAATGCAGAGATTTGATTTTGTCAACCTGATGCATACTGCTTCAGCGGTAGCGAGTAGCCGAGTCCCTGACTGATGGTGTAGCTGTGATGGAACTCGATAGAGGATCTCAAAAGACTTGCGCTTATAAATCAGATGATTGGTGCAGATCAGATGGTTGTTTATGGCACTCAACTTAGTTCTGTTCCGTTGGGTGACGAGCGACCTTGGTAAATGTTCCTTGATTCACTTTTTTAAGTGCCTGGTCATGTGCCCAATGTACCTATCCCCACAGGAGCAGGTGAACCGGTAGACTACCATTGATTGGCGTTGGTCAGGCATCCTGTCTTAGAACCTAGGAACAAAGAGCGAACTGCTTGTAAAAACGGCACTTAGTTGAGCGGCATTAAAGGTCTTTCGGCAAGTCTGTATCAGTCGTCGTGTGCATATCGCTGCTGGTATGTCACCTTTAAAGGGAAGTTGGAGAAATAGCTGTTTCTTCTCCACCGTTTGTACTGTTCGTCTTGGGCTACTAGACTTTATATGAACGTCAATGAATGGTTTTGGATAACCGTTCTAGGTTTCATTGTCGAGCATTTGATACTTAATCAAGTAATCTCCAATAAATTATGGTGTTTTCGATGGTGGCGGGTCATTCCAGTGAACGTGACCAACGGAAGGATACCTATTCGCTGCCCACCCGAGATTATGCATACATTCGCATGGGCGCCGAGAGACAACATAGAATTGCCAGGTTTAAAGACCTTTCAACCGGCGGGATAATCTGAATTCAGTGTATTTCGTGTATTCTCATTCAGCCGCGTACATACCATTAGTGAAAACTATAATTAAGTGGAAGTTAAAGGAATCAATACCAAGAGTCAATAACCGGCCGTGAATAATAATCTTACTAAGGCACAGCAAGACTAGCCATAAGTTCCAATTGCTTGCATAGGTTGGGCTTTAGGCGCCGGGTGGAAGCAGCCTCAGCGAACTGCAGTAGATTCGGAGTATTTTGCCTGCTAAGGACCTTGAATGCTTCCCCGTGGATTTCGACACATTGCACAATCGAACAGATACCTGCCAGTCGAGCTGGCAGGTAATTTCGCGGGATGTGCTCCGATTTCCGAGTTGACAGCCTTCTCTCAGTTCTGCAGATGTACATGTTACCATACGTACATTACAGCTGGTAAACGCATGAGGCTGTAACTGGACAGTGAGGCTTGTTTAAATTGGATTTGTACATCAACTTTCTAGTTTGTAGAAAGTAGAAGTCACGATTAAACTTCACACAATAATTTGTCTCGACGGGGAATCGAACCCGGTCCCACGAATTACCGGTCCGCTGCTCTACTACTGAGCTACCGAGGGCTGACGATCAGGTGCGCAATTTAATACATGACTTCTGCTTGGTTTGTTGCAGCAGCACGAGCTCAACTGCAGTGTAACACCTCTTCATGTACTGGCATAAACGATGGCTAAATCTACAACCGTTTTTGTACGGCGGTGTATTGTAGACTTTCTACTTAGGAACCACAGTCGGTTTTTCTCTTCTCTGTCCCATACTTCGCAGTAAATTTGTCAGGATAAGCATTAGTGCCTAAAGTGGAACTGACGACTTGTAGTTGCGTCTCAATTGATTCTTCCGAACAGATTCGTTGGGTTCTCACAAAAGAAGTACGAACCAACGAGCTTTTCTAGCTCAACAGTAGCTGTTGGAATGTAGATGCTGTCCTGTCCAATTTGGTTTATGATAAATCGACCTGAGGGGTGAGCTATCTGATCTTCTGTCTAGGGCTATATCCAAGAAGTGGAACTTGTCTGATGATTCGTTTCCCATGGCGAATTCGATCTCTGGATGCTAACTGTTGAACGCTTCTAGCATGCCCTCCGCCTGCTGATGGTCATCAACAACTACAGATGTATCATCGATGTAACGGGCATTAAAGTAAATAAGTGAAATAATGTGTCAGCTGTACGCCGTAACGGCGCTTCGCTACCGTGCGACTACCACCAGTCGCGCAGGGGCTGAGTGTACCGCGAGGACGCCCGCCCCTACGCGGATTCGAACCGGTGACCTTATGATTGCAAGCCAGGCGTGCAGACCACTCGACCACCTGGCGTAAAAGTATGCTTCCTGTACGGGCTGACGCAACTTTGTATTTTGCAGATGGGCCCATCGCCATATCCTCATTTTGTCGGTAGGGGTTTCTGTCGAAGCAAAACTGGACATCTTTTGTGCATATGCGAAGTGATGCCTTTACTCGATGCGCTAGAAACCCCAGTTTATATGCGTGCTTGCGTATAATATCCAGCGTCTGTTCCAAGGGTACATTTGTAAATATCGAACAGACGTCGTAGGACACCATGCGTTTGTTTTCCACATTTAAATTCCGAAGCTTGTCAATGAATTCAAAAAATCTTTTAGACTATACACCGCTAGCTCATGTCGGATGGGCTCAGTTAGTCCGTTTAACCATCGCGCCACATTCTAGTACGGCGCTCATTATCGATTGGATTAGACGTAATGGAATGACTTCTTTGTATACCATCGGTAACCCTACCTTCGAGGAACTCTTGAACCAGGAGGCCACAGCTGCATCATGGGTTTAGCATCGATCAATCCGTCTTTGTGGGTTGTAGTCCCTTCCACCTTTTCCGTTTTATCCCTGTCTGTGGTAAGTCTAGCAAATTGATCCTTATTTTTGAGCACATTGCATTTTCTGCAGGTAGTCCCTGTTACTTATCATGACAACTCCAGAAACCTTGTCGGACCTTAGTCTCGACACATCATCATTTCGACGTAGCTCATTCTAGGAAGCTAAGTTGTTATTCGAAATGATTCTGAACTTTTCCGTACTATAAACTTGGGTAGCTAGATCTACTGCCTTGGCTTGAAACCAACTGTTCGCATCTTCTGTCACTTGCGTCAGGCTACAAAGTTGTTCATACAGATGTTCAAACCGTGTCTCAGAACTTGAGGCACGTACTTGGTGATACGGAAACTATAAAACCAGGAGCTAACACTTCCATTTGCAGATGACTGAACGAGACGTCGGTTACATTAGTCACTTACCTCTTAGAATTCAAGGGGAATTGCTCATTTGTACATTCAGTAGTAATAGAATTCAAAATTTACTA